TTCCTGTTTGCTGGTTCGGTTGGTCTTGCTAAAGTAACAGCGCCATCTATATGTCAGTCCCAAGACTTTTTAATTACTTTTTACAAAAATATTAAGAACTACTTCAAAATATTTTTCCTTTTCCGCTGGGATTCGAAACACATTGTTTTGTAGACTTGCCCTTTTATTAAATTTTGTATAATGAAATTCGTACGTTTTTATTTAATAGTTCTTTCTATTATTAGTATCTATTAAAATATCCTCATACGCTAATGTAAATAATATACTTGGAATCGTGATTAATTTTTTTTTTAACCCTTTCAGTGTTTTTGTCGAATATATTCGACATTTAAAATTACTCTCTTCCTTTGCAAATTTTTGATTATCCTATTTACCGTTACAATTGATGTCTTTGTTTTTGCTGAAAGACAGACAAAACTGTCCGAGGGTTAAAATAAGAATTGTTTTTTTTCTAAACTCTGTGCCTTCATACGGTTTTAAGTACAAAATTTTATTCCGACAAAAAAAAATTTTGACACTGAAAGGGTTAATTTGATTACCAAATTCTACATTGCATGGAAAAAATTAAGATTCAACTCTTTATTTAAGCTATGCAAAAAAAACCGACAAACAATAACATTGGCATACATATGTCGATCTTTTTGTTTCGACTGATAAAATGAAACATTTTATTCCCCCAAAAGTTGGCAATATAATATGCTCTTCTACTCTATTCTTTAATGTATAATATCGATCCTACTAATTAAAATAGACGCCATCTATATGTCAATATAAATATTGTTCTTTTCTATCGTTAATGTGCATAGTGTATATTTTTTACCCTAAAATGCTACTACTTAAGTATAAATATTTACCTTTTTCGAATAAATAAAATTCTACATCCACAGTAATAAATACATAATTTTTAGCTCCCAAAAATGTGCAATAATGCATTCAAAAACCACAATAAATGACATTGGTCTATAGGTGGCGTTCATTACATTTTAAATTAACAGCAAAAACATTGAATTATAGATGTCGTTCTTGAATTTTGAGCGAAACATAAAAATATGAATTCGTTTGTTATGATTTGAGTTTCGTATTCCGAAAACTACTTCAAATACCATGTAATGTTTAGCTTATATACCATTATATACAAATTTTACAAAAAGGATTTTTTTATTTTAATAATCAATTTGTATCTCAATAATACCTTCCATTACTTTAACAAAAAATAAATGTAAAAAAATATCCGCAAATTTCTATATACCACAATTGGTTATTATAGCAAAAAATAAGTAATAACAAATCCCTTAATTTATATTTAATATAGAAAAATCCATTGGACCCACTAAATCCTATTTTCAAATACTCTAAAATAATTTCTGTGCTTCTTCGGCAAACTGGTTTGATGTGTGGGACAACTACGCTTCGTTCTGATTCTTCCCCCCTTATATCTGTCATAACCTCCGAATTTCTTTCTCAAGAATATTCCAAATAACTATTGTGTTATAAAAATCATGCCGATTATATGAGGCGTCTATGTTTAGATGGTTTCTATAGTAAATTGCCCAGCAATGGTGCCACATTTGCCAGCACATGGAAGAATTGGTCCTATCTCAAATCGTTTGCCTTAACCTATAAAATGTTGTTTGTACCAACTGTGGGTCCTGGATTTGCGGAACGTAATAAATTCCCGCGTCATGGTGATATACAACGGCATCGTAGTAATGGAAGGGTGAGAGAAATGTTTCTTTTTAATTTTTTTTCTTCATTTAATAATGATATGAATGGTAACAGTTGGACCTTGTTTTGAGGGAATGGATTTATTCGAATTCGAACATTGGATTCGAAATAATAGAAACTTTTCTATTAAACGATCCAAGAAGATTCTATGTTATTTTCAATTTGGTCTTAATAGGGTACGAACATTAATAAGCGCCATCTATATTTCGTTGTAGGCATTGTTTTTTTTATTAAACTATTTTATGTATGATGCATACTTTTAGGCGTCAACACAAGAACTCAATGTATTATGAAGAAGAAAATAAATAAGGTTTTATACAAAATTGTCTAAGTAGGTCCATGTTTTAGTATTACTCCCAAAAAATTCACTCAGTGTAAAAAACTTTGTGCGAAGAGCTATTTGGTCCTCTAATATTTTGAACAAAGGTTTGAATCCCAGCGGTGAGGGGAACATTCTTTCAATGTGGTTTTGAATTATATGTAAAAAAACCGACTTAGACCACACTCCATCCTGACATTTTAATAAACATCCTCGGCATGAACATATAAGGATAGCACAAGATAGGAATGGTATGAGAAAGCGCCACACAGAGGAAATTGGCAAAACTAAATAAGCAATGACCCCAACCACTGCATAAAAGAGAGGCGTAGTTTCTAGGCAAATATAGATGACACCTTTAAATTATGGGAAATTTGACCTTACCCTTATATAGAGATTATTCCAAAACTTCGACAAATATTCCGAGATGTTCAATAGAACGATTCCCTGAAAAGAGTGCGTGAACTAGTTCATAGAATCAATTTCATAAAAAATGACAAGGAGAGGAACAGATTTTAAAACGAATGCTACATCGTATATTATCGATCTTCGAATTAGGTAGTGAATTATGAACGAGATTACCGATTGATCAATTAACTTAATATTGAACTATGAACTAGATGAACGAACTATTTCAATTTAAAGATGTTAACTATATGGATCGCTCTTTTAAATGAACTAAAGTGTACCACTTTAATCCGTAGTCGGAATTTATTCTCCAAGACAAACTTGAGCTACAAGTTGATATAACATGAAGAAAATTTTCTGAACCCTGGTGTGTATAGGCTGTTCATGTTCTGGAAATTTCAGAATTTTAGCCATTTTCAAATTTAATTCTCCGAAGTAAAACTTTTTGAACTATTATCATAAGGTCATCATTCTCTTAATTCCCATTTGGTCCGACTGTTACCTAACCTCAACAATTCTATGTGTAAAAATTCTTAATTTTCTTTATTTTCAATATTTTTTATTGTGTGCAGTATTATGGTGTTGCTTGGCGTACCGCCATACTCAATCATGTCGGTTTTATTAACATTGCCAGCTATAATAATTGGGCCGATGGCAGTCAAATTGAAGAAGTCTTACCCAAGGCTGGATTTTTAAACTATAGTCCCGGCAAGCCGAGCAAATATTTGGATTTAACCACACATTGGGTTACGAATTTTGTTAAGACCCGTAATGAAGCGGCCACAGCTGCCGCTGCTTCGCACACTCTACTCAGCTGTTATGAATATTTAAATAATACAATTTGTTAAATGAAAATGGAACTCAGCATTGTGAGATGAAACGTATCAGTATTAAATAGATTATTTTATGTAATTTTTCTTGATTATAAATCATCATCTAAATCCGAATGCCAAGTTGAAAAAAAACTCAAAACGAAAAGCAATTACTTTAGACTAAAAACAAATGATATTTATTAAATTAATATAATGCCAATTTAAAACTTATTTTTCTTAAGTGCTAAATAGAAGAAAATTAAAAAGTTGGAGGAGATTCATACAGAGGAGCTATTGTGAGAACTACTAAATGAAATAAGTTCAAAATAACAGTTCTGCAAAAGGAACAATCGGTATTAGAAACGTCTATCCTTCCTATTGCTTCCAATATTTTTATTTTCCTCTCGTTCATTTGATATTGTTCATGTACAAATTCCACGAGCTCATACCGTTCCATCTGTTCATGTAACCTTCATTTCAATTTAAAATAATAGTTAACTGAAAAAAAAAATTTCAAATTAATTTTTGTCGTTTCTAAATTCGTTGTATGCCGGAATAAGATATCGTAAAATTCAATTTTAAAGTGCTTATAAAAACTACAAACACATAAGTTTGGTTACTCTTGGTGGAAGAAATTGTTGTGACCTATAAACTACGCTCATTTAAATGAACTAAAATGTACAACAATTGAACGATCCTTGGCCAAAATTCCAAATATCGCAAGATCAAAATAGGACTACCGCAAGGCGGTGTCCTATCTCCCATTTTGTTCAACATGCCACTTTCCAACTATTCCAACCACCATCACCAACTTATTTCGGGAGCGCAATCAAAAATTATCCACTGCAGTCTACTGTGTCACTTTTCACTTCCTGCGAGAAGTCAATCTAGAACTTGACATTTCCGTTGAAGGTAGGCGCATTCCCACCGTCCATAATCCGAAATCATTGGAGTGGTCTTCGATAACCTCCTTCACTAGATAATTGATAAATGAACTAGATGCATTGCGACCTAACTAGATTGCAGAATTAGTTCAATCATAAGAGCGGAACTATAAGCTAAGCTCATTTAAATGAACTAAAATGTACAACAATTGAACGTTTCCCTGAAAGGAACATATGGAATAGTCCAGTCTTTATAGAAATTTTTATTTCAATTTTTTAGCTAAATGATGTATTCACTTATGCTGATAAAATTTTTAAACGAAATTTAACTAAATTGGAAATTAAGTAATTATTGTTTATGATCGATCAATGAACTTGGTAGTGAACTACGAACTAGATGATCGAGTACCGATTGATAAATGAACCTATTGATCAATGGTTCTAAATAGTGAACTATGAATTAGTTGAACGAACTAGTAGTTCAATCAAAAGATCTGATCTTTTTGTAGTGCTCTTTTAAATTAATTAAAATGTACATTACTAATATTTAACCTATATCGATCTGAAGTGAGTAGTAAATTATTCCAGATTTTCCAATAATCTGCTTCTCTGTATGAAAAATTATTTATATAGTTAAAAAAGAATTTAGATAAACAAATAATAAAAAATGATATTACTATTTTGTCCAATATCTGATATTAATTCAATAAATATAAGAAACATTATATACTCTTTTCTTAAATAAAAAAAACAATTGTCGTAAATACAACAACATGATATTATATTTATATTCAAGATAAACAATTGTGTCAATTATTTGGAGCATCCTTTTTATATTGGCGCATTTTTAGTGTCATTACATGCCAAAAAAGTAATCCTATAGATCATATTATTAATATTGTATTCTTCTCAAATTTAAGTTATAGTTAAATTATATTAAATTTAAATCCTTGATAAAAAACATTCGAAAATTGACACAATTGTTTTATAAAATTAACTTATCTATTTTATATAACTCAAACATACATATATCGATATAATCGTGTTATATATTATAAAAAAATGTTATTTATATAGTTTTCTAAGAATATAATAATAATTTTTTTCAAATCACTTGTTATTTAACTCAATACATATAATAATATTAAACAAATTCAAAGAAAATAGCCAGCGCTCAATCAAAATGTTTGAAGTGAAAGGAAAACGCCAGTAGATTGACATGTTAGCTAGCTTTGTCTGCTTCCTTTTTGCCAGCAAAATTTTCACATATTGGACTCAAATATACAGTGGTGGTCACAGAATTAAAACATTTACTGTGGTAAACATTTTTTGATCAGCCCCCGATTCGTTTGAAGTATTTTTATATATTTTTTAATTCAGAACACTTCGATATACTGCACTTAAGAGATTTAATGTGAAAATGGAAAATTATTTCATGCAATTTTTCCATAAATAACGGTTTTTATAAAAATACATCAACTTTGAAGTGGTCATATAATTAAAACATTGTATGATTTTTTACTTTACTGCATTTTTTGAAAATATTTTTTAAAAAAGCTCTTTAATTTAGTTAAATTATGTAAACTAAGCACCGATAAAATCATTTAGTGATAAACATTTTTGAAAAAATCTGTAAAATCTATCAAAATTGCCAACAATTTGTACAGTACACCTTACATTCAGAAAATAACCCTTATTATAGAAAATAAAGGTCCGAATGCATCAGAAATTGCTAGAATTAGGAGAAAACAATAAATAATTCTCAAAATAAATATTTGAAATAAGAGCTCAAAAAAATGAGAATTAACTTAAAGGAACGATTCAACTTCGATAGCCTTTATTGAATAAGGCCATAATATTTTTGCAGTATGTGAGAAAATATCGATTGATATTGGTATTTATTATATCAAATCGATTTTTCGAGTAGTACAGAATATATTTTATCAAAAAATATATCAGTCACAAAGAAAAGAACAGAGATCAACGCCTATGTTGACGAGTAAAAGCTTATGGCAGACAGCAGCATTTTTAAAGCTTAACACAAAAATTCAAATATTTGCCAAACTGTAAAATATTTTTTTCTTTGAGGCTAAAATAGATTAAGTGGAAGTTCTTCTATTCAAAAAATATTATTTTGGAAACAAATTGTCATTTTCAATAGATTTTAAGGGTCAAGAGTTGACCATCAAATATGCTCCTGTGTGCCAGAAACTTTTACTCGTCAACATAGGCGTTGATCTCTGTTCGTTTCGTTGTGACTGATATATTTTTTGATAAAATATATTCTGTACTACTCGAAAAATCGATTTGATATAATAAATACCAATACCAATCGATATTTTCTCACATACTGCAAAAATATTATGGCCTTCTTCAATAAAGGCTATCGAAGTTGAATCGTTCCTTTAAGTTAATTCTCATTTTTTTGAGCTCTTATTTCAAATATTTATTTATTTTGAGAATTATTTATTGTTTTCTGCTGATTCTAGCAATTTCTGATGCATTCGGACCTTTATTTTCTATAATAAAGGTGATTTTCGGAATGTTAGGTGTACTGTACAAATTTTTGGCAATTTTGATCAATTTGACAGATTTTTTTCAAAAAATTTTATCTGTAAATGATTTTATCGGTGCTTAGTTTACATAGTTTAACTAAATTAAAGAGTTTCTTTAAAAATATTTTCAAAAAAATCGAGTAAAGTAAACAAATTACACAATGTTTTAATTATGTGGCCACTTCAAAGTCGATGTATCTTCATAAAAACCGTTATTTATGGAAAAATTGCATGAAATAAATTTCTATTTGCACATTAAATCTCTTAAGTGCAGTATATCGAAGTGTTCTGAATTAAAAAAATTTTAAAAATACTTCAAACGAATCGAGGGCTGATCAAAAAATGTTTACCACAGTAAATGTTTTAATTCTGTGACCACCACTGTAGGTCACTTTCCCCTTTGAAACATACAATTAATTCCATGTGATTAGCATTATAAATTAGATGGGCTAATTAAAACCATTTCAAAAATCAGTTTTATTATTTATTATTCAAAATTAATCCGGGCCTGTTTCTCGCAAAAAAATATTGTTATCATCGAATTAATCCGTAAATTATTGATAATTTACAATTAATATGACATTTATTAATGCATATACAGAGTGACAGAAAAAACTGCAACAAAGTCAAACGCCATAATTTTTAAATTTTTTAAAATTTTACTGAATGAAAACAAAAAATGTCGGAAATAGCATAAAATTTTAGAATATATTTAGATTTGTTCGAATTGGTCACCTATGGCACGAATGATGGCCTTCAAACGGCCAATGAAACTGTCTCACCGTACCCGAATGTTGCTCTGCGATATTTTGACCCATTCCCGGCGAAGCGCTTGCTTGAGGTGATCGACACTTTGGTATTTTTTAGTGCTTTCCAAAATACTCCAGACGCACAATAGTCCAACGGATTGGTATCCGAAGATTTTGGTGACCATTGTGCGCTGGAAATGAAGCGACGAACCTCATTTTGTAATCATTCTTGGGTGGCGCGTGCTGAGTGCAATGGTGCTGAGTCCTGTTGGAATGTCCAAGGTCTGCAGCCAAAAGGAATATTTTCGCGATAATATTCGGCATTTATTCTGATGCCACGGTCGATTAATACGATCGGAAAGCGACCATCGGCTGTTATGACGGCCCACACCATCACTTTGTCGGCGCTTGTGTTCGGGTGGCCAACCGAAGCTGACCTCTTTGGCAAGTAAACACGATCATTTTTTTTTGTTTACAAACTGCTGGACAACGAATGTTTTCCCATCGGAGAAAACCAAATTCGACAGTTCACCACTTTCGGCCAAGTGAAGCAACTCTTTAGCCCTCTTGAGTCAATTTTCTTTCTGTTGCGGTGTAAGTTCTTGCAGTTTTTGGAATTTCAATGGCTTTACCCCGAGCTCACTTTTTGCAATATTTGCCGAATGTGGACGAGTGGCTTAGAAATGATAGCAGTCTGAAGTTGGTTGCAGTTTTATCATCTCAGCTATATCTAAATCAGAACCGATTTCAACAACACATCACAGACATCAAACCGGACTTAATTCAGTATTCTGCGCAAAATTTTTCTTAATTGGACAAATATTGGGAATTTGGTGCACCATTTCAATAAAATCGAACGAAACTTTCCACAAAACTTCGCATATGTCTATTTGGATCTAACACAGTGCACTGCACAATATTTTGTCTCAATCGGACAAACCTTGAGACTTTTTTTGCACCATTTACCTAAAATCGGACGAACTATATATGACAGCTATATCTATATCCAATCCGATTTCAATGAAACTTAACACGCCCTATTCTAGTCTCAATTTCATACGTTCTGCCAAATTTTGTCTCAATGGGACAACAATTGAGAGTTTGGTGGACAATTTTCCTACAAATCGGACAAAAGTATATATGAGAGCTATATTTAAATCTGAACTGATTTCGACACAACTTCACAGACATCAAAGTGCGCTGTGCAAAATTGTGTCTCAATCGGGCAAACCTTGGGAGTTTGGTGCAACATTTACCTAAAATCGGACGAAAATTTATATAGGAGTTATATACTATCAAATTTCAATCGGGTTCGTCCTTATGCCAAATAAAAGATCTGTGCTAAATTTCATGCAATTCGGATCAAAAAGTGATTCGAAGCATATTCTCAAAAGAAACCATGTCTCGTTTCCTTTTGCCTGTTACAAACATATGCTTAAAGACATTATACCCCGTACCACAGAGTAATGAAGGTTATAAATACATAGAGATTAATAACCCTTCTTAAAAACATTCAATCATCTTAAATCCTTTTCTCAATTTATTATTCTTTATATAACTAAATATAGCCCAAAAAGTTTAGTAATTTATTCTGACAGAAATTATCAAATAGAAAGCAGGCATTGCTATGTTATGGAAATTGCGAAAATAGTCATTCTAAATACCTTGCCACACATATAAATACATAGATATTATTAAAAAAACTAATAGCTTTAATAAAAAAATGTATAATGTAACTTTTTCCTTTTTTTCGAAATTTGTAATAATGACTGACTCAATAAACTTCTCTTTAAAATAATATAAAAAAAACTATATTTAAGAAATGAAGGAATTCTGTATATATTTTTGTTTCTATTCTGTATGCTGTTTAATTTCACTATAGCAGATACAATATTCATTTCAATAATTATTCCTCGGATTTATTTTATTTTTTCAAATGCATTAATTTTCTTTAAAAAAATTTTTGATGAATTTTTTCGTAGATAGTATTTTATTTTTAAAAAAATTGAGAAAAAATATTAACGCTTACAAAGAACTTCGCAAAAAAACATGTGGACAAATACCTTTGAAATTCCTTTCATTGCTGCTCGACGATGATCGATATTGTGGTATTGGTATATTCGATGTAAAAGGATTACTAGATTCCTCCTCCGCCACTTCCTCGTCATCTTGCTTGAAACTTTCTTCCACCAGACACTCAAGACAAAAGGTGTGTAAACAATTTAAACATCGAGGATCCTTAAATATATCATTACACAGGGTACACAATAACATTTCTGGTAATTGTGTCAATGGTGGTTGTTGTTGTTGGCTATTTGGTTCCAATTCAAGCGGAATGTGGGTTGAGTTTCTGTAAAAAAAAAATTAGACAAAAGTAAAAAACGACTTTTTTATTGTCGAAAATTTAAAAACAAAAAAATCCAAATCCTCCAAGCCATCCGTTAAGACGTCTTTTGCCATCCACAAATATGCCTCAGAATATAATTAATGAACATTCTCATTAGCAACATCCCTGCAAATAGGGTTCTCAAACTGCTGTCCGATAGCTTCACGACTCAGTTGCCGCGTGCGTCGTTAAGAAGAATATACTGATTCTTGATTCTTATCATGTAAGAATTTGTAAAGCTCAGTAACACAACTGTCAAATCTGCTCTCTCAATTCACTCTCTTTTAGTGCCATTTTGGTTTCACAGTGGAAAAATATACAAATTGGTCATAAAAATAGCCCAATGAGCCTCTTCATGGTCCATTATACCCGTACATCTGCAAAAAAGTATTCGAATTATCCGGAAATCCCACCTAACACCTCAGAAAAAACTTCATAATTTTGATGAAGAAGGCCCGATGTATTGATTTTATAAATCAATACATCGGGCTGACGTAGGGGATGATAGATACCAAGCAACGGCTCTGACTGGCTTTAACATGGCGAAGCCCAGGCTTATCGTCCCGCTTTCATCTCAATTGTGGAAACTGACATCCCCGCGGTGTCACCTGGGGTAACTATTTTCATCACACGTTGAAATAGTGAGCTGATATGAGCCCCGAATTCACCCATAAAGTCCAACGAGTGAAACACCAAACCGAAGACTTTGGTGCAAGCACATCCATCTCTACAGGAGGATGTGCCTGCACAGAAGGAAACATTGTGATATATACAGACAGCGTGCTGAGGATCTGGAATGAGCATTTTGAAAAATTTCTGGTATCAAATAGTAAAGGTGAAGAGGATACCCTAGAACCAATAATAGATGACGGTATAGAGTGTATACCATCTAGCCAAGATGAGGTCAGAATAGCAATCAATCGGCTGAAGAATAATAAAGCAACAGGTGCCGATGGGTTACAAGCAAACTATTCAAGACTGGTGGTCAGGTGCTGGTAAGGAGCATGCACCAGCTGATTAGTATAATTTGGCTAGATGAATGCATGCCCAATGATTGGAACCTCAGCATCCTGTGTCCCGTGCACAAAAAAGGCAAGACTATATGTTCCAACTATGGAGGAATAAGTCTCCTTCCCATCGCATATAAAGTGCTATCCTGCGTGCTGCGTAAACTACTGAAGCCAATGGTCAATGACATTATTGGACCATACCAATGCGGCTTCAGACATGGCAAATCCACCATTGACCAGATTTTCACTCTGCGCCAAATCCTGGAAAATACCCACGAAAAACACATCGACACATTCCACCTATTCGTCGACTATAAAGCCGCATTCGGTAACCCTATCCGTTCAGAGGTTTATAAAGCCATGTAACCTTTTTAACATCCTGCTGCAAAAGGTCATGCGAGAAATGGCACTCTGTACACCAAACAACACATGTTACTCGCCTACGCCGACGACTTCGTCATAATGGGTCGAACATTGAGAACGGTAACAGTCACCTTTGAACAAATTGAGAAAGAGTCTGCCAAAGTGGGCCTGGCATGACGTCCAGTAGACTCGGACCAACTGTGGAACTTGAGAACTACAGCTTCAAGGTAGTCAATGATTTTTTATACCTTGGTACTGCGATAACTATTCGGAATGATGCCTAACAAATGTGCAGCATTTGGACAAAAGCATTTTTAACTGCCTAGCAAAATCCACTGCCTCTCCATTCTCTTGGAATCTTCTTGAACTTTGAAATGAAAGAGACAGATACACAATTAGAAATAACATTCTACATATTTCTTTACTAGCATATAAGACGGTTATATTAATTCTCTTTTTATTTTAACCAATTTAATATTATTTATTATGATTTAAAATGTTACAAATTTTTAATAGTAATAATTCTTCTTTGTTCTTTTCCACAGCCTAACATCAACGACGATCTCCAATTGATTTCCACCAAAGAAACAAAAAAAGACATTAGATCTGTACAATAGCAAATAATTGCAAAGCCAAAACCCCAACCTATACAAACAATCATCGAATACTGCACTGCAGATCCCACAAAACAAGAAGAAGCAGGCTCCCACAACTAATTAAATCGCCACAAAACATGTTCTGAATTATCCATTTACCCCCCTTGTGTGTTGACGCTTAAGAATAGATAGAGAAAAGGAGAAAGAGCCACCCGCTCGCAAGAGCGAACGAGCGAGTGAGCGTAAAGTAGCAGTAGCAGTTCCACACAAATTTCAAATGACTTCAGAGGATCTCTTGCAAGCCGGACACGTAGTCAAAGAACGATGGAAGGTAATACGAAAAATTGGCGGTGGTGGCTTTGGCGAAATCTACGAAGGTCAAGATCTAATAACACGCGAACAAGTCGCCCTCAAAGTCGAATCAGCACGCCAGCCCAAACAAGTCCTCAAAATGGAAGTGGCCGTACTGAAAAAGCTGCAGGGCAAGGAGCATGTTTGCCGTTTCATCGGTTGCGGTCGCAACGATCGTTTCAATTATGTTGTTATGCAATTGCAGGGTAAAAATCTGGCCGAGCTGAGACGCTCCCAGCCGAAGGGTGCGTTTTCGGTGAGCACAACGCTGCGCCTGGGACTGCAGATACTGCGAGCAATCGAATCGATACATTCTGTAGGCTTTCTACATCGTGATATTAAACCTAGCAACTTTTCAATGGGCCGACTGCCGCTGAATTGTCGGAAAGTGTATATGTTGGATTTTGGTTTGGCGCGCCAATACACGACGGGTACGGGCGAGGTGCGTTGCCCACGCGCAGCTGCCGGTTTCCGTGGCACGGTACGCTATGCCTCGATAAATGCCCATCGCAATCGTGAAATGGGTCGTCACGACGACCTGTGGTCTCTCTTCTATATGCTAGTGGAGTTTGTCAACGGCCAGCTGCCATGGCGCAAGATCAAGGACAAGGAACAGGTGGGCCTGACCAAAGAGAAATATGACCACCGTATGTTACTAAAACATTTGCCTTCTGATTTCAAACAATTCCTCGAACACATACAATCGTTAACGTATGCCGATCGGCCCGACTACGCCATGCTGACAAATATCTTTGAACGTTGTATGAAACGGCGTGGCGTCAAGGAGTCCGATCCGTATGACTGGGAGAAGGTGGATGCAGTTAGTGGGACAACGGTGCCAACGACCATTACCTGTAGCCAGGCGAATCAAACTAATCCGGCTCAAATTAAAAACGACTACATACCAGGCAATATAACACAAATGACTGTGGCCGCATCGAATATAAGCGGTACAGAGCACCTGCCGCGTCAAAATGATGTTGATACAGCGCCCATAGCGACAACAGAGCCCCTACATATCAAAGACAAGGTGAGCCGAAAACCGTTGTCTTTGTACATGTGTGCCATATATCCGAATTAGAAAAATCGCCCCCCAAGTGGAGGAAGACGACGAAGATGACCATAAGGAAATACATAAATGAAAAAAGACAACAAACCAAGCAACTAAATAAACTAACAACCAAAAGTTTAAATAGTAGAATATTTGAATATGAATTTTATGTTGAACAATAACAAAAATACAAGGATATTTTTTGTGTGGTTAGAGAGGCAATGCAATGCCGCTGCGGCTATGACAAAAATACAAAAACAACAACAAAATAAATAAAATCTGCAATTATAGTAAAATAATAATTATTACCAAAAAAACAACAAATACCAAAATTCTACCAAAAACTCCACTGCAAAATTGCCAAGAAACAGCAAACCAAAAAGAACACAAGAACAACAACAACAAAATCTCCCAAGATTTAACCAAGAACAACAACAATGTTATTATTTGTTAAACAATTGATTGATTGATATTGAAGAATATGATATGTTACATTTGGACCAGTGTTAATTTGTTCCAATCTCCTGAATTTATTATATAAGAAGAAGAAGAAAAAGAACGACAACAACCACAACCACATTCTGTGCAATATTAACTACATACTACATAAAATAAAGTTTCACCCCTCCTCCAACAACTCAACTTCTTTAGAAAAATCTATTCTAATTCAAATGTTGAAATCCAATCCAAAAACAAAAAAGGCTTTTCAACATTTGTTTCATCTTCGAGACTGATAAAAAACATAATCAGCTTTCAAGATTGCATTTTAATTCCGAACCACAACCTTATTAAATATATAGATGATGCTGGATCGGTCATCATGAACATCATCGGTCGTCCGTTATGCTGCAAGGTAGTAGATTTGGAGCTACTCAGAGATTGATCAATGTTATTTGGGCGCCCAAGTAAATGAATTCTGGGCATACATTTCGAAGGAAAAAGATAACCACCACCAACTCGCTCCCCCTCTCTCTCTCTCTCTTTCTCGTACATACGTTTCGAATAATACTCGAACAACAATAATCAACGATAACAAATCGTAGAAGAATACTCAGGACATAATGCTGCATGCAATCCATACTATATACGTATATCCTCAAGTGGCAAAAAATCATCATCGAATTGTCATCATAGAGGGGAGAGGCCAGGCCAATCAATGATAACTCAACAAATTTAATTTTGGCTCATTCACCATTAACTTATTGAGTGGCGGAGTACACACACACCATATGGCTAGGATGTTGGCCATTTACCAAAACTAAAATTGGGTAAGTTAAATGTGAAATAATATAAAAGAAAATATAAAACAACTTTTTCTAAATGCAGATCTTTTGGAGAAAGTGGCTAGGACTTTCATTTTAAAATCTCCCTTTAAGAAAGCGGAATACCAAATAGCAGAAAGGTAGTTTGGAAAAGACTAGCATAACACATAAAAAGCGTCGGGGTCTTTATATTTCAAAGCTTTGACCTCCTATACAGAACATTTTATGCCAGAGTACCATTTATTTTAATTATAGCCACATCTGAAGGTCTGAAAAACGGACGGGAGTTATTCCAACACATGGACTTATATTACAGCCACTTGGTTAGACATTCAATATAAATAAATACTGTTACGAATATAACTTTAGATTTAAGTTAATTTAGATGAATTCCGTTAATTTAAGAATTTGAATTGTAACGTAAATTTCTACTACGCAGTTTATTTGAATAACTTCACAACAACAACCACTGTATAGATTTTTCTACATCCTTCCATTTCCTCTTTCATTTTCTATTTTGTTATTGTCGTACAATTCTTGTTAAACGTCATTCCTCTTTCTTTGTTATTCCCTCGCCTGTATATGTGTTGTTGTTATTGTAAGTTTGTTTACTCAAGTTTGTTGTTGTTATTGTTCACTCAGTAAGTTTGTTGTTGTTATTGTTACTCAATGTGTTTGTTGCATTGGTAGATTGTTCGTGATCTAGGTGTTACCAGATCGTCTAGAAACTTCTGTAGCGACAGGCAGGGCTCATATAAATAGAGGGAATGGAAAGGCAGTGAGTCAGTTGTGAATCAGATCGCGAATTGAAACCGTCGAGTAAAGTAAAGTGCAAAGTAAAGTTGTGTGAATAAAATCATTGTAATAATCGTAATCCGAAAGAACCTGCGTTTTATTTGGTACGAGTTGTATCGGGAAATAAAACCACGTCTACACGGGATTAGTAAAACCCAAGAACGTAACAATTGGTGTCGGAAGTGAGATTACGATAATACTACGATGAAGTTTAAGGATCTACGAGTGGAAGATTTGAAGAAGGAGCTCAATAAATTGGAATTGTCGTCTACTGGCAACAAGGCTGAACTACAAAAACGTCTGTTGGATGAGTTCGAGCGCCGTGGTATGAACATCGATACTGTTACGTTCTTGGGTTTTACTAAATCCCGTGTAGACGTTGTTTTATTTCCCGATACAATTCGTACCAAATAAAAACGCAGGTTCTTTCGGATTACGATTATTACAATGATTTTATTCACACAACTTTACTTTGCACTTTACTTTACACGACGGTTTCAATTCGCGATCTGATTCACAACTGACTCACTGCCTTTCCATTCCCTCTATTTATATGAGCCCTGCCTGTCGCTACAGAAGTTTCTAGACGATCTGGTAACACCTAGATCACGAACAATCTACCAATGCAACAAACACATTGAGTAACAATAACAACAACAAACTTACTGAGTGAACAATAACAACAACAAACTTGAGTAAACAAACTTACAATAACAACAACACATATACAGGCGAGGGAATAACAAAGAAAGAGGAATAACAACAACACATATACAGGCGAGGGAATAACAAAGAAAGAGGAATGACGTTTAACAAGAATTGTACGACAATAACAAAATAGAAAATGAAAGAGGAAATGGAAGGATGTAGAAAAATCTATACAGTGGTTGTTGTTGTGAAGTTATTCAAATAAACTGCGTAGTAGAAATTTACGTTACAATTCAAATTCTTAAATTAACGGAATTCATCTAAATTAACTTAAATCTAAAGTTATATTCGTAACATTGCCCCCCGCTTAAGCCTGTTCGTCCCGAATAGGCACAGTTCCCGTTCCGTAGGGGGTCAGCCGCTCCAAATGTAGAACTTTCATCTTCGACCTGGGACTGTCGCTCCTCTGGATGCGATAAACGACGTCATTTATTTTCGTGACAATCTTGTAGGGTCCTTCCCAGTGCGTTTGCAATTTGGGGCATAGTCCTTTCTTTCGTTGTGGGTTGAACAATAGTACCAGTTGCCCTTCTTGAAACCCATCGGTATTTGCCGCTCGATCGTACCTTGCCTTCATGCGGTTGCTAACCATTTTTATTCGATGTCGGACTGCATCGTGGACTTTACTAAAAGAGTTTTGGCTGTCTTCATCTTGGTTCACATCGTCGTTTGGGGTAGCGCCGAATATCAAATCGCCAGGTAGCTTTAATTCATTTCCGAACAGAACTTTGGCTGGGGTCCGGGATGTGGAATCATGAATGGCCGATCTATAAGCCAATAAAAATTTGGAATATGCTCATCCCAGTCTCGTTGGCCACTGTCCACCACTTTCCGTAGATGTTCTTCAAGGGTGCGATTGAATCTTTCCACCATGCCATCTGATTGTGGATGTAGGGGCGTCGTTCTGGTTTTCCTAATTCCGTAGGAGTCACACATTTCCTTGAAGATCGCTGATTCAAAATTCCTACCTTGATCGGAATGAACCTCAGATGGAACACCATAGCGACAAATCCAATTTTTGCTGAACACATCCACAATTGTCCTGGCTTCTTGATTTGGGATAGCATAAACCTCCGGCCATTTACTGAAGTAATCCATGACCACTAAGACATACCGGTTCCCAGAGTCGCTTGTGGGGAACGGTCCAGCTACATCCATTGCGATTCTTTCAAAAGGGGCTCCTGAATTATACTGCTGCATGTAGCCTCGACTCTTCCGTGTTGGACCTTTAGCTTTTATGCACCTTTCACAATTGGCGATCCAGTCGGCAATGGATTTTTGACAGCCGACCCAGTAGAATCTCTGCTTTACCTTTTCAGCGGTCTTTGCTATGCCAAGATGTCCTCCACTTGGCCCATCGTGAAACTCCGACAAGACATCTCTTATTTTGGAGTCTGGGACGACGATCAAGTTCCGGTGAGATTTACCGTCCTCACTTTCCCATTTGCGATATAGGCAGCCATCTTTTATAAGTAAACTGTCCCACTGGGCCCAATAGGATTTTAAAAGAGGGCTTTCGGAGGTAATTTCTTTACGACTAGGTCGCTTGCCCGTTTCAATGGCCGAAATTACTTTGCCCAGAATGGGATCTCTTCGTTGTTCCGTCGACCAATCTTCACCCGACTCAAACTGCAATAGTCGGACATCAACGATATTCTCCTTATTCTCAGCCTTTGAGCAATGCCTGCATTCTACCTTGCATGGCCGACGAGACAGGGCATCAGCATTACCGTGTTTTCCGCCTTTTCTGTGCTCGATTCTGAAATCATAACTCTGGAGCCTCTCGATCCAACGGGCTAGTTGACCTTCCGGATTCTTAAAGCGCAGCAACCATTGGAGAGCAGCGTGGTCGGTCCTCAGCAGGAAATGCTGGCCATATAGGTATTTGTGGAAGTGTTTAACGCTCTCAAGGGCAGCAAGCAGCTCTCTCCTCGTCACACAGTAATTCCTCTCAGGCTTCGACAATGTCCGGCTGTAGTACCCGATGACTTTTTCCTGTCCGTCGATTTCCTGGGAAAGGACGCCACCGATGCCGCACGCACTTGCGTCTGTGTCCAGAGCAAACTTTCCGCCAGGTATAGGGTATGCCAAAATGGGGGCTCTGCATAGCATGTCTTTGAGTTTACTGAACGCCTCTTCTTGGTCGTTGCCCCACTGGAACCTCTGGCCTTTTTGCGTTAAGCGGTGTAGACAGGCGGCGATGTTGGCAAAATTTGGGACAAATCGACGGTAGTAGGTGCAGAGACCCAGAAAGCTTCGCAGCTC